TATATTAGTCACACCTCTTTACAATCACAGTTTTTTGTATCCCGAAGGTGTGACTATAGAGAGGTTTGACTGTATATTCATCACAATAACAATCACACTTGATCCGCTTAAAATATTTTCCGCCAAGTAAAATTTATTCACCGACACTTCTTGACCCATTGATTAAGGCAATTGAGAACGCCCTAAATAAATGGTTCATTTATAACTCACTAATTAAGTTGTTACGAAATTTAAAGTGGAATGTTATCGCTATATTATCGTTATTATTATTGTTATGAAAAGGCATCGATATATATTGAAATGTATGTTGTAAGTGGGAACGAAATTTTAAGTGGTTTGGAATTTCATAAGATTTTAGGGTTAGGGTTTAGGCTTATACGTATAAAATAAATTCTATACATATGTTGTAAGTGGGAATGGAATCATAAGAGTTCGGAATCCACTCAGAATAATTATACTTAAAAATTCCGAATCAACTTGCGACATACGATACGCATTTACAATATCTGTATATGTTATTAAAATAACGGATAAACAGTAAAGTGGTTATACGTATCGTAGATTATCGAGCACAGAAGATGATCTAGATTTAGATTATCTGGTTACAATATTTGGTAATTGGTAATTTATATATAAGGATACAATTTGTTTTCAAATTTATAATTCTTTAAAAAAAAAAAAGCATTATATTTTTTTTTTCAACCGAAACCTTCTTTAAATAAATATCAATTAATGTCTTACTTAATAAATACCTTAAAAACTAATTTGTCATCAAGAATATTGCTGCCAAAATCACGTTACCTAATAATACGTTTTATGAGTTCACCAAGTTCCATAATACCCGCAAATAAACAACATTTAGTTCCTACATCTGGTACATATCCTACGGGATTTAAGGTAACAGGTTTTCATTGTGGCATCAAGAAAAATGGGATAAAAGATTTAGCATTAATAGTTTCCGATAGACCATGTACTGCCGCTTCAGTATTTACCACCAATGTATTTAAAGCCGCCCCTGTTTTA